CACACACACATAGCCACCCATCATTTCCCCAGCTCTCTTTGAACTCCCTGCCCCTGTGACTTTGCTTGCACCGTCCTCCCTCCCAATATTTCCTACCCTCCCACCTGGGTCCACCATGCTCCCTCTCTCCTGAGCCATCCCAGGGCCTACATTTACAGTGCTACTTATTAGAGGACTGTCTTCTTCTGCCTTGTTTTCTTTCTTGACGGAGCAAACATCATTTTCAAAATCCTTGAAACTCTCATAGTCCTTGCAATGTGCCTTGGACAGAGTGACTGCTCTGTAAATGTTTGTTGGTTGATTTTATAGTAGGTGCTCAATAAAATATATATTCCACCTTACAAAGAATTTTACATACCTCAGTTCAGCAGATGTTCACAACAACTTGTAACAGAAATCTTAGTTCAGTGCCAATTTTCAAATGGAGACATGAAATTCAGAAGTTAGGTACTTGCTCAAGATAGAACAGATCTTCTGAGGCACCTAAGTATGTGCTTTGGTGAAGACTTCAAGCCTTGGAATCTGACATTCACACTGGGTTTTGCCATTTAGGAGACTTTGGGCCTTCCCTTATTCTCTCGGAACCTCAATTTATTCATCTATAGAATGGGGATGATGATAATACTTATCTCATAGGGTGGTTGTGTTAACGGTGTCATGCATGTGTCTAGCTCATGGTTAAGGCTAAATACACATTGGTTATGATATTATTATTGTTACTTTGATACATCAAACTGCTCCCCTGTAAACAAACTTGTTGAGTGTAAAGTGTCTGCCACACAGTGGACACTCAGCAAATATTTGAGTATGTGGGCTAAAGAATCATTTCGTTTTTATCCTGGATTATCTCCTAAATAATTTTTCCAACTGCACTCAGGTCATCATCTAAGTGATCAACAACACTGATCTGCCCTCACTCCTCCCATTCCAACCCCCCCAGACCCAGCAGAGCCAGGCACCCAGGGGAGAGGAGAGGGCAGCTCACTCTGGGCAGCCAACGAGGAAACCGGGATTTGCTTCTGGCTGGAACTTGCGGGCAGTTGGACAGTTTCACCCGTTATTTGCCAGGCCTGCAAATCAGCTGCAGAAACCCCGGGCTGGTGGCGAGACGGTCTGTAAGCTAGAAAGAGAAGAGCTGCAAAGGGTAGACCCACTGCCAGGGTTCGGCAGAGCCACAGCTTCACAATTCACAAGATGAGGTCATTGGCTCCTTTCTCCAGGGAAATAAGTGGCAGAGACACGGGCGTCTTGGCCAATGGAGAGTGAGATTAGAGGGAATGTCCTTCATCCTTTCCCCAATGGGAAGCAGTTTTACTTTCACTTTGCCTCTCAGGGCACTGGACCAACCCCTCCCTGGGAAAACAAGTGTTGGTGCCAGAGGCTCCTGTGGGTTCCAGGCTGCTTTTTCAGAGACAGGTACTGGAACCTTCCTGCTCCTGGCCCAGGGGTCGCTCTATACATACTCAGGGAGTTTGTCTTAATGGGATCAGGTGACACTGAGTCACAGGTCCCTGGGCCAGGCTGTACCCACCTTGCTGGTTCCCATTTCTCCTCCCTGGCAGCTGGTTATTCTCAGCCACGGATTTATTAACTTCTCAATTTATTAGAACTGTTTTGAGAAAGTTGCTGGGCAGGGAGGCCAGGGTGAAGTAAGAAAGCCATTTAAGGGAATAGGTGGCTGCCTCTGCCTCGGGCACATGGGGGGTGTACACTCCTCAAACTTGCCCTCTCCACGGGCCTGCCCCTTGCCCTGGACCCTCCCCTTCTCCCCCTGCCTTGGCAGCCCTGCTCCTGAGCCAGCCTGTTGCGGAGCAATCAGATTAACTAATGGCTGAGGAAATGCATATACTGCTTGAGAAATAGAAATAACACACAGTAAACCCCACTGGAGGACTTTAAAGTATCAGAAAGCTTCAGAGCCGAGGAGACCGCTGACAGCTGAGTCCCACCCCGTTTGTCCTGCGCGCAGCAGAGGGAGCTGCCCGCCTCCTCCTGAGGAAAGGTGGGTTTTATGTGCAGGCGGCCGTGGTTTATATCACATCACCCGATGCCCTGGCTACTGCTCTTCCGACAGAGAAGGGCAACCGTGCCGAGGGCAGATGTACAGATCGGTTTAGCCCAATGAGCTGGCCTGGTCCTATAACACTGACAGGGATGGCAATGATTAACTGGACTAACTGGATTTTCTCTCTCTGGAGATTGAACCTGGGACCTACAGAGAAAGTTAGACAGAGAGCAGAAAGAGAGGTGGGAAGACAAGCAGGGGAGCCAGGATGGACAGGTAAGCTCAGTGGCAAGGGTGTGGGAGGGTGTTGAGCTGTCATCAGCTCTCTGGTTCCCACGCTGGGTGTCAGTGTCAGGCTCCTGCCCAGCCCAGGCTTCTGCATTTCCATACAGACTCTCAGAGAGAGCCCTCTTTATAAGACGAACTCTGGGTCTCTCTTATTTACCACCTACAGGAACTGATAAAGAATTCGTGGGGCCTGGCTTATAGATGAGGGAGTCCAGGCTAGGAGACCATGGGTTGCTCCCAGCTTACAGAAAAGTCTGCTCTCAGAGGGTGGGGTTTCAGGCATAGG